GTTGAGTTTTGAAGCTACTCATTAAATAATAAGTAGGTACATAACTAATAATTATAAAAAAATTTTAGGTACCTAATATTGGCTATTATAGCCTTCTTCTATTAATGATTTGGATTATTTTTATCCAGGTTTTCTTAAAACGTGATTTATATGCTATTTTAGATTTTTGACGCTAATTGATAATTTCTCCACTGTATAGAAAAACATTGAATTTTATAAGTTTTTTTAAAGTATGATAACAAAAATAAAAAAATGTATCAATGGATGACTATGATAATGTAATTATATTATTTATCGATTATTTAAAGCAACTTTTGATAAAAAATAAGTTGGATCTAGAATTAGGATCTGTTTTTTCTCTTTTTTGGTTGTTATGGTAACACAATTATATTATTCATCGGTTGTCAGGAACAACCTAGATACAGAATGAAAATGGCTATATTACGAAATTCTAGTGTCTTAACCTTATAACGTTATAAAGTTTCAAAACACTAAAGCAAAAAACGAATAACGATTATATATAAAAAACAAAAAATATTGTCAATCTAAAAATATATCTATGTTAAAATAAAAGTTTTTAATACATTTATTTTTTTATCGTAAAATTGAAAGGTAGGATCTTAATAATATATTATAATTATAATATATATATATATATATATATATATAATTTATAATATAAACACATTTTTAAAACCAATTATTAATCTTATATTATTATGAGGTTTTTCACTTTGCTTGAATTAAGTATTAAAAAAGCAAATAAGATTTAAAAACTATGTAAAGTATAGTAAATTATTTTAAGTATATTTAAAACGTGAGTCGTAAAATAAAAACACTACTAGACCATGTGTAATTATTCGTCTTTTTTTTTTTTTTATTTTATTTCATAATTTAAGTGCATGTTAAGTATCTTTCGACAGAGTCAAGTACACTTGGCCTACTCTATGAGACGGCGATTGACAGCAGAGTTAAATTTGTATATTTTTCTATTTATAAGTTTTAAGGCTTCAAAAACTAAAGTTATTAGTTTACAATATAAAAACTTTTTTAAAATATAATAATTCATAAGATGTTAGGAGTTTTGCATCATTTGTTTCATATTTTGATCACATTTCCAAAACATATTTGTTTTATGAATGCAAATTGGTAGAAACACTTTGCTAATAAGAAAAGAGTGGGTAAAGTACGTAAGTGAGTCTATTTTTCTCTGGGACGTACTCAGCGTCATTAAAAATTATTTTTTACTTAAAACAGGTATAAGATGGATACAAGGTTTTGCAAAAATAAAAAATATACCTATACGATATTTTACGTTATATTAAAATAAATAATTATATCATCGAAATTTTAGTACTAGCAACGACATCTTTCCATAAAATGTATACTACAAAGAAAATTCACTATCCTATTCCTCTTTTTTTACTATTTATTAAGCAATTTATTGGATCATAGATGGCGTTGTTGTTAACGAATGACTGAAAATCAATTAGAAGACGTAGTTTAATAATTAAGCGGAGTCAACCAAAATGTAACCTGTTCGTCGCAAAACACGTTTTATTCAGATCGCAAGATTCTAAGTATTATATTATAAAATTTAAATTTAACATACTGAGGCCTTTTGATCAATTCTTGTGACGACAGTTTTGTCAATGTGACGTATAATATGGTTTATTGTCGTCCTCTGTCACGGATGATTTTGAAACGTAAAACACGTATTATTATGAATAATTTTTTAAGACTATTTTAATTAATTAAAAAACAATGATAAATAAAATTGATGAAAAAATATTTTAAACAAATTTTATGTTCGCGAAATTATACTTATCTTATGTTTATAGAATGTCTTGATATTAACAATATTCGCATATGTCAGTACGACGAGGGACTATGCGTATATGATGATTGATTTCAGATAAATCGACAGCTTAAGGTAAGTCAGTGTTTAGGGAGAAACATTTAAACAATCATAAGTTTATGTCGATTTCACTAAGACTGAATAAATGTACAAATAAATATTATAATAATTGTTAGTCACTTGATTATTTGTGATCAAGTATTTTGTGTAAGATAAAAATAAAATATTTATTATCTTATTATTATACAGTATTATATTTTCTAATCCATTTTGATATAAATTGTGTTCCCTCATTAAATTATATTTTAACCAATCTTGTTAACATTAAGTTTTTGAACAGCGATCAATATATAGAATCAGTTAAATAAGTTTAAAATAGAGGTTAACAATAATCCTTTGTTTTATTTTAATAATTCTTACATTCATTTTAAGAAAAAAATCCGTGTACAATATTGAGTCTGAAAGGTTGTGGGTTGTGTGTCTTATTGAGATTTGAAAGTCATATTTACAAGATAATATTATACTCATAGTCATATTTGTATTTTTTTTTTTTTTAGAGGTAGGGGATTCTTGGTTATTAAGATCACTCTGTCAATTTTTCTCCATCATTCTATTTCTTCTGCTGTTATATTTTTTATGGTAAACTTGGTTGATTTTTTTTCTCGGTGGCTTTCACACAATCTTTTTAATGGTCTTTTACCAATTCTGTTCTTCGATAGTTAGACTAAAATCTATTCATCACCTATTATTTTTAATCTACAATATGAGATTTTTATTAATATTTAAACGATTTTATAAACTGTTGATTTTGTAATATTTGATTCATATACTCGACAATACGAGGTAAATAAATAATACTTTTTGTGTAAACAGTTTTTAATTTTATTATCTTTTTAAGAAGCAAAAAAAAAAAAAAATATGACATACAAAACATATGATATATTAGAATCTTACAAATAAAAAAAATATACCATTAAGAGCGCTAGATGTGGCATTACATTTTGATATAAAAAAAAATGTATAAAGATAAGAGCACTTAGAGAAAATAAAGAAAAGATTTAAAAAGGGGGAAAAATTTACATCGACAGGACAACACAATAAAGGAGATTGGAGGGGGAATAGGTGATGGCAAAATGGGTACAAAAAGTATTACAGCGTGTAGATTATGGCCATTGGTCATCTTATCTTGGTTGGTCCTATATCGGTGAACGACTGCCGCTCTACGCGTCCAAGCAGTCGGGCACCCGTCAAGTCACTGGAGGGTTGATCATGTGGGTGACTCAAGCGCACTACGTCCACAAATCCCGTCGTGCCGTGGGTGGTCGGAAAACATGTTTGGATGACATACCGCCGGACACTGTCCGTGTTCCGTCTCGTATCCTTCATGTGCTAACTCGACCCCGTTGTCATCCTGTCAAAAGTCTTCGGCCAAGTGGGCGAGGTTTGTGTTTGCGGACGCTAATCACATCGAACATAACAACACATGTCTAATATAATCGGTTTTACATGTTTCAAGGCCACCGTAAATCGTCAGTGGCGTGATTTGAGTTACGTGGGTGCTGCACCCAGAACTAGCCTACGACTAGATCAATCGCCATTAATATAATCGCGCTCTCAGCTGGCGTTCCGTTTATATCGTTTATATTATCGTCGTTCGTTTTCACTGACACTTCTTGGACGTCGTTTCAATCTCTGGTTGCGCGTCATTCACACCTGATGATTGTTCGTCATTGCACAAAGGTGGTAAAATTTTTTCTACAACACGATTGACCATTTATTGAATAATGGCTTCGTTTCCAGTGCTATACAGTCGATAATATTAAAATGTCAAATTATAAAGGTTGATACAATATGATATAAATATATGTTATTATAATAATTAAATACTAATAATATTATAAATACAATATTTTTGGAAACAATTTTATCAATCTACCATAATAGTAAAAGAAAAATAGATGAAAAAACACACCACAAAATATACCAGTACTTGGTAATATTATAGGCTGATACAGGTTTCCACTCAGAGTTGTTTTTCATACACAATAATATATCATTGAATTCAAATTTAACCCCCCTTTAGAAGTGATTTACTCGACACCTAACGCACAGCATAACGATACCCATCTACATTTTTCTCGATTATTTTAAAAAGTATTGATATTTATTAATTTTAACCACTTAAAAATAACAATGAAATACATCCAATTTTCTATTAAAAAATACCTTCAAATTTAAAGATGACAGATTTCCTTTTTTTACTACAAAACATGAAAACATAAACACATCATTGTAAAATCAATACCACAGAATAATAATAATAATAATTATCAGGGCTTCATTGTTCCAATAAGAATCTAATATACTAAATTTTCATCGTCAGACATGACAATTTTTAATATTTTTTAAATTACATTTACTAAAAACGATCTAACTTATAATTTTGCTTAAACAAATGACATACAAATAAGTGAAATGTTAATTATTGTGAATTTTGCTCTCTAGTTACTAATTCAGATTTTTAGTTATATTACTTCAGGTTTATATTTGAAACCCAAATAGCGAGATATAGTTGAGTGATTTAAATAGATCAAAATTAATTTAAATATTTTTAAAACAGAAAAAAAATATTTTGTCATTTACACGACTTAATATTATTTTTATGCATAATCACAGAACGAATACATAGATTATAGATTATAGATTATTATTTGTATTTTATGTATTTTAACACATATAATATCGTGTTTTAATTTTATATTATTAAATATTAGAAACATATATAAATAAATTATAATGATAAACTTTTCAATATAAATATGTATAAATTAAATTGCTATAAACTTATCTATTAAAATATTTTGATGACTAAGAAAATTAGAACAAGAAACTAGTATTATTTTAACTTTACAACTGTAAACAAATAAGTGTTTCATTACACATTTAGACACAAATACTCACAAATAATGTACAGTAAAGCGATTTTTCCGGTATTTTTTTTTTTTTAATTTCTATAACAACCGATAATTTGATCTAGTTTTATAAAATAGCATATTCACTTTACAATTGCATAGTTACTTTACGTCACTGTTGTTTGTTAGTATAATTAATAATAACTTTTTATTTTAGTAGAAGTACTAAAATGAGTCAAATGAGTTTACATCATGTTTTTACAAAAAAGGTAAATAACTAGGCAATAATTATTGTTTTTATTTTTTGACAGCATACGGCAGTTTATGAGATGTACAGTGTATAATAAATAGTATTGTAATATTAGTGAAATTAGCACAAAAAAATAAATTAAAACTATTATACAATCGAAAAAATAAAAACAAAATAAATACATCAAATTATAAGTAAAATAGTAAGGAGATCAAAAACTAAATATAATTGTTTGGCTGGTAAAGCATTTTATTTATGGAGTGATGAGATGATGACCATTAGTAGTTAGATGTGATAAAATGTTAAAAATTGAAGGTTTCTTATTAAGGTAAACAGGGTTATGGAATATGATTGATGAGAAAAGTGATTTGCGTCATTATAATGGTAAGAAATAAAATAAATATTTGCATAAAAACAGTGATTATTATAATTTAGCTGTAATGAGTTTCAATTTTAAAATACATCATGATATGATTATGAGACTTATAATTTAAACTTTTATAGTAAACAAAGATTAGTTATATATTTACTGTTAAAAAATTGTACTTCTGGTTAACAACTTTATAAACAAAAATACAAAATACTGACATAAATATTAGAAATTATTGATTTGCCAACAAATAAATTAATAAATAAATTCAGTGGTTTTATAATAATAATTTATAATTTATTTCAAAATGTTAGGGGTTACAACCGTTATCAAGATTTAGAGCTGCTGTTTTTATGACAATTGCTAATTTACCTTGGTTAAAAAACGATGACTATCAATTCGCTCCTATAGATTCATTTGATTCAATACATATGCAAAATTTAATTTCAGCTTGTAAATTATCTGAAATATCTGTTTTTGTGAGTGAATAACGTTTTTTTATATTGTAATATTATGATACCATGATAACCTTTTTTCATTTTTTAGCAAAAATTGATTTTATTCAAACGACCAAATGATCGAACAATGTTTGAATTAGAAACAATCGAATGGATGTTTGCAGTAGGATTTAAATTTTTTCATCTTTGTCCAATTGTAAGTACTTAAATGATTAAAATAAATTGAATTTTTTTAAATATTGATAGAACTTTATATTAATTTATCTATATTCGTGAAATTTTCTAACCCCGAGCTAACGCTAAAATAAAAATGTTTAAATTAAAAAAATAAACTAGTCTTACAAATTATTTGTTACACGTGAACTTAACCCACTTTAATTTTGTTATTTTTATTATTATTAGGCTGTGAAATGATATTTATGGTTATTGAAATACGGCAAATGTATATAAAATTAAGTAAATTGTTAAACTGTTTGTGCCATCTTGATGTTAATCTATTAATGGTTATAATTTTTATCATTAGTGATAACAATATATAAAGTATAAGTAGTACTCGTAAAAATGTATAATTATTAAATATATTCTAAAATCAAAAAACGTGTTAATAAGTAATCACGTGTCTTCAATACTTTCTTACATTTTTAAAATCTGTAAAATGATTAAAAATTAGTCATACTTTATTGCTTTGAAAACTATAAGTTTGGTTCTAAAATCAACATGATAAATTGCACTAAAAAGTTAGTTTAAAAAAAGTTATTTCAAATCTACTTAACTTGAAGTTTAACTTAACTTTAACTTGTATTTAAAATTAGTAAAATGAAAAACATTATATTTAAAAAAAAGTTAATAAAGTCTAATTTAAGTTGGTAAATGTAGATATCAAAATAATGTTTATATGAAGCCTAAAGTGAAAATACAAAAGAATATTTTTTGTAAAAATAGTTACAAATTTACTATAGTCACGTGCTGTTCTCTAGTATACAGCCCACAGAAGCAGAATTTTAACATTGTACTTATACCACATGTGGTATAAGCAGTGGTACAATCATAGAAAAAAATAAATAATTTCTGTTAAGTAGTTTTATATTTAAGCTAATGCATTATATACGCTAATATGAATTCATCGATAAATTTAAAAAAGAATAATATTGTAGTTATCGTAATAATATATTTTTAGGAAATTAAAATGCTTTTAATAAAAAGAGCGTCGTATAAATGTTATGGCCCTGGTAGATGGATATTAAAACAAGGGCATTTATCAACAAATATGTATTTAATTGTCAAAGGAAATGTGAGAATTACTGAAGATGTTCGAAATCCTATCACTAAATTAATAGAAAGCACCGAACGTTGCATATTAAAAGAAAAAAAATCTTTTGGCGAGAGTGCTGTTATGTTTAATACACGTAGAATAAATTCTGTACAATCAATAAGTAAACATTTTTTTTTTTTTTTAAATCTAAATACTAGAAAAAAATTAGTTATTTAACTTGTGTAATTGAATTTACTTAATTTTTCCTATATTATACATTTTAGATTGTAGTTTTTTATTATATGTTTTAATATAATATGCATTATAGTTAATTACTTACAACTTTTAATTATAATAAATTAATTAAATAATATCAAGGTACAGTGGAATTGATTTGCATATCGAAAAATGATTTCACGGATATCATCAAAAACAATTTACAACTTAAGTGGAATGCAAATGCAATAGCAATAAAATGTTTTTCATATTTTAAACACCTAAGTTTATTGGAGTTAAATAGGTGCAGCACTGTTTCGTTTATCAAAACATTTAAAGGCAATGAATATGTTCTCGGTAAATAATATACTTAATTTTTAAACATATTCGATACAATAATATTTAAATAATAAAAAAAATCTATGAAGGTAAGTAAATATATTGTTTTTTTGCTGTAGGAAAAGGGCTAGGCGATGTTGATTATGCTCACTTTGTATTAGAAGGAGAAATATCTTTAATATTACGTTTGGAAATTAGACAGATTATTAATCGTTATGGAAATGTCAAGTACATATTAAAAAAGAATTTACAAAAATTAAATGAAAAAAAATATAAAAATGTATATGTTAATACTTGTACACTATCATCGGACTCCTGTTTCAACATTGGTAACAAAATTGAAAATAGTAATAATAATATTGTTTCATGTTGTTCATCGAATTATTGGTTTAAGAAACACGATGTGTATCACACGCAAAAATATTTTGAACAGTTTATTATATTACTTAATTCTGGGACTTTTCTTTTAATAACCCTTGAAGTTCGACCATCTAAAAATTTACACATTTATAGAAAAATATAATATTTTTAATATTTTGAACCTATATATTTAAACGTTTATCGCATTGATAATATTTTAAAAAATAAACAACATTATAAGTTATTTAAATAAATACACTTAGAACGCACGTAGTAATTCAAGCTGACAGACCTTTTCCACCTAAAATTATATTTTCTAAAAAATAAATAATAATATTTATCATTGAGTTCAAATTTAACACATTCATTACTATAGATACTTATTCAACAACGGTGTACACTTAATACCTAAAACTTTAGCGTTACTTACTTGCCAAATTATTTTAATTAATTAAATTAACATTCATAATTACTTCTAATTGTAAGGTGAAGATATAGAAGACAAAGAATTTATAACTACTGATATTAACGTAACAAAATGCTTGTGTGTTCCTCATTGGTTCATGGGTGAAACAGAAAAACTTAAATGTTGGGAATTGGTTAAGTTGGATCTCAATCACATTATTCCATCTAAGAACAAAGTATTTTTAAAACTCTATGGCTCTTAAAAAACAGTATTATTAAAATGAAAAAAAATTACAATGAATGAAAAATGATCATTGAGTAAAAATATTTATAAGTATATCATCATCGCTTATTTAATATTATGTATTATCTTGATAAAAATCAAATTCATGTTTATAAAATAAATATAAAATAGTATTTTCAAAAAAAAAAAAAATTAATAATAATAATAATAATAATGCATAATATGCATGTGTTATATATTTATATGTATGAAATATTATATTGTATGCACATAGTTGCAGTATGTAAGAATGTAATAATCGAATGAGACATCAAATTTTTATTGAATAAAAAATTTATTTTCCTAGTTTTAAAGAAGTATGTATCATATTTTATTTCGATTTATAATATTTCAAAATTTGTTTTTTGTATAATATCTACAATTTTACTAATTTGAATTAATATTAAAATAGAAATAAATTGTATTAATAATACTTATTCATAAAGCTGCAGAAGAGGAAGTTAATGATATTTTATAGCTCAGAATAGCATTATCTTAGTAAAATTATAAAACAATAAAAAAAAAAAAAAAAAATTAAATCAAATTTTTAAGTTACATTTTAGTTACCTAATAAACAGTAGGTATAATTATATTTTGAGGTAAATATTTATAATTTTCTGAATTAAACAAATAAATATTTAATAATTATAAAATAACTTATTTTTAAAATCTATCTTATCATAAAATATTTTTACTTACTCCTGTTTATAAGGAATTTTTCTTTTAATATTTCATAAGTCTTCATTTTAAAGCCACCAAAATACTGTTAAAATAAAAAATAGTCTGCTTTAAGTATCAGCTATAACATTAAACTACTGATTTTAAAGTTTCTACTGTATGAAACTTTTGGAGCGATACACTAGCGTTAATGGTGAGTAATGTATCAATACAAACCAAAACATTTTCTAAAATCAATATATATATATTTGTTAAGAATTTCAAATTTCAAGAGTCATTCTAAAACTTGTATAAACCTAATAAAACCCATACAATGCAAGAGTTCAATACTTTTAGAGTTTTAGATTCTGGGTAGAATGATAGAAGTATTGATTTTACACTTATTAAAGAAGAAAAAATGCCTCGTTAATAAATATTATGGGAGAGGTATTTTGTATAAAATAAGTTATGGTTGGTACTCGGGGAAGGGGGGTTTTAAAAGAAAATTCCAAATACTTTTCAAAATAATTGGGAAACATTAGCTTAAATTATTACAATGACTATTATACTTTTATCGAATGATATTCGTACCTTTATTTCAATAATCATAAGTAATTCTGAAACAACTTGAAAACAATTTTTATTTTCTACTTTTTTCATTTCCAATTTTCATGTTTTATTTTATGAATGGAAAAATAAATTTGAAATAAACAAATAAATAATTATATGATAACAAATATTTATTAGTGCATAGCCAAATTTAATTTTTTTATTTCAATGCATAATATGTCGTTTATTGTTTTTATTATTTTGTCTTTTTGACTTATTCGATTAATAGAATCAAATTCTCTAAGTTAGTCCCAAAGTTATATCAATAAACGGTGACTACTATATATATTTTCATCAATAGACATTGTTTTCCTCTTAATTTAATCGCTTTGCACGTGTATGATTAACTAGTCGTGTTTAATCGTTATAATGAATTTAACGATTTCTGATTATTTATAGTTAACTATCTACAACTCGTTATATGAATATTCTTTTCTTCATTCCTGCAGTGTTTAAATTACGCTATTCAATTTTTAATGAATTTAATAACCGAAAATATAGATTATCTTTGTAAAAATCACGCTTAGTTAACAAAAATTGAAAAGTACATTTGAAATTGGTTATCTCGAACTTCTTTAATTCAAAATCGTCGATACCTCAAACTTTTTCTCCAATCTCTAAAATTTCCTATTTAAATAATGTAAAAAAATCTTGTTTAACTCGAATATTTTCATGAATAAATCAAAGTTATGAGTTTCATTTATGCAGTCAAACTTGATTAACTTGAAGTTGAAGGGACTGGAAAAAAGTTCGAGTTATCCAAATTGAAAATGTTTAAAACAGTATAAAATATATTAATTCCTATATATTTATTATGAATAAAGTAATATAATAAAAAATATTTACTGTGTATTTATATAATATGAATTATGTTTATGTAATTTTAAAGAGGTATATGTATCTATGTATAAATAAAATGAGGTTAGAAAATTATTTCAAAAAGGTATTTATTTTTGTTTAAGTTTTGGTGTTAATCGCAGTGTTTGTAAAGCATCGTTTTAAACCATTTATTGGTAACGATAAAACTAATGAGTAATAACCTTATTTTCGATATTGAAATATATACATAGGTACACGAAGGAAATATCACAATTCTATAATACTAATAAAACTCAAAACTTCGAGTTAGCCATGAAATTATTCGAGTTAAACAAGATTTTTTTACATTGTTTTAATAGGAAATTTTAGGGACCGGAAAAAAGTTCGAGGTATTGATGATTTCGAGTTAAAAAAGTTCGAGTTAACCAAGTTCGACTGTAATTGGTTAATTTTTAATAAGAGTAGGCCAAAATACAGAAATAAAATAATTTTAATTTATAAAATGACAATACATGTTAGGTACTGAATTAAAATTATTAGACTATTTTAATAAATGTATCTATTAAAATAATAATTATGTAAGATAATGGGACTAAAGTATGTAATTAATGTATTACAATTTATCCATTAGTAAATAATTCATCCATAATATTAACTTTTTGGTAATTCTACTGTTTCTATTTTGTATTTATTTTATTTATGTTCTTTTTATCTAGTACCTACTTAATTTTTTTGTATTTTTTTCCCGATTTCAAAATGGTCTAATACCATGTAGGCCATAGGCTAGGTATATCAAAATCATAGAAATAAATAATGTTTATATTATAGCTCATTGGTATGTAGTATATAGTAATATAGGTTTTTATTTTTTGAATTTAAGTTTTCAAATAAAAGTAACTGAATAATGTTTAGTCGATTTAATACCACAAAGAAACTCGATAACTTTCGCGAAGCTTAACACTGTACGTTCATTATAAATCTGAACAGCTGTAAAATTATGGTTATTTTATTATTAATTTTAAATGTGAATGTTAAAAGGGTTTTCTTAAATATATTTTATTCTTTCGTCTCTATAGTGTCACTTTGTTTTAAAATTGAAATGATAACTTTTTTCTTATGGTTTTTAAATATACGAGTAATTTTTCGATAAAAATGTTCTCTTAACATAGATAATATTACATAATATTATATATTATAAACTTTTATGTACCTAATACAACATTCTTTGATTGGAACGGCGTTTTATATTTTTCCAATGCCATTCTTAATCATTTATTTGAAAATTGTTAATAAGTATACAGAGATTATAATATTTACTTTATTTTAAAGTGTTTACAATAACTTATTTTAATCTTAAACACACCTGTTTATTATTTTATACTTTTATAACAATCATTTTTTCTAATCAGTTATTTTCGTTTTAAATCTGTTAGATATATATTAAATAATTTATTTTTATATAGTCACAAAGTTTTTACAAAGATTATTATTTTATTTTTTAAATTTTTAATTGGTACTTAAGTACATTTAAAACTTATCCTAACATATACTATATGCGTAAAATATATTGTCATATGATTTCAAAGAGATTTATTCAATTTTATATTATTATTAAAAAAAATACACGTATACTTGGGAGGGTTGTATTATATACAGATAGAAGTTATTTCTTTTTTGGAATCATACACTACTGATCCTCATATTTCGTGTAGTTTATTGCCAACCCGGGACTCACAACTCTAAAAGTTTAAACAAAATGGCCACAGATGGTATTTTACACTGAATGGAGACAGAGAAATAACGAATTCTGGTGAACCATGGTATATACGTAGATAAAATAATTATATGATAAGTATATTTTTTTAATAAACATTTTTTCATATTATATATTTATATACAAATGTATAATATTAAGTGATAGAAAATCTGTGATAATAGTTAATAAAATATAAATAATTTTGTATGTAGGTTTCAAGTAGGTCAGTAGTGCAAGCCAGTAAACAAAAAATGGTAAGAGACATTTTCTAGAGTTTCGGAAAGAAAAAGTTTTTTCCTCAAAACTATAAAGGGGATTTGAATGCATCTTATTCTTGTCTATAAGTTTTAAACAGGCAATATTTATATTAAAACATATAATAAAGGTTAAGTTTATAATTTTTCATAGTAGAAAATATTAATTTGATGATATGTATTGATCATTGATAACACATTGAAAGTTTTAAAATGTTTACTTTTGATCCAACGAACAACTTTTTCAATTTATTTATCTGAAGAAGCCCAATTTATTTTATTGTTTAATATTTGCATATTTTAAGCTATGAAGAGAAAGCTAAATGTATTGATTTTTCAATAATGTGTGCTTTTTTTTTTTTTTTGCTTTTATTTTTTCGAATTCTATCATGAATGATATTTCATCAACTTTAGAAGAAGCTGGAATGCTTAGATTTTTAATTATAACATTTTTTTTTTGTAGAAATGTGACACTAATTGATACTTTGAAAGGTAAAATATAAAAAAATGTATTACAATTTTATTTATAATACCAAAAAACAAAAAAAAAAAAAAAAAAACAATCAGGAAAAAATGGGAATTTTTAAGCAAAATCAGTTTTTCAATAATATGGATTTTTTTAAATTTTATTGAAATTTTAAAAAGAGTAACTGTACTTATTTGAATATTGACCAAACTATAAAAACATTTTTAAACCTTACAAATTTTTAATAATACTTGACTCTTTTTTAGTTATTTATTGATGTATGAATTTTTTATGGTTTTTTTCAGACGTATTTATCGATAAAATAGTTTAAAAATATCATAAAGATTTTTTATAGGTTATTAATAATAACTTATTATTAACGATATTTAAAAATATAAAAGATACACAAACAATACATA